TCTTCTTCTTCTTCTTCTTCTTTCTTCTTCTTCTTCTTCTCTTCTCTTCTTCTTCTTCTTCTTCTTCTTCTTCTTCTTCTTCTTCTTCTTCTTCTTCTTCTTCTTCTTCTTCTTCTTCTTCTTCTTCTTCTTCTTCTTCTTCTTCTTCTTCTTCTTCTTCTTCTTCTTCTTCTTCTTCTTCTTCTTCTTCTTCTTCTTCTTCTTCTTCTTCTTCTTCTTCTTCTTCTTCTTCTTCTTCTTCTTCTTCTTCTTCTTCTTCTTCTTCTTCTTCTTCTTCTTCTTCTTCTTCTTCTTCTTCTTCTTCTTCTTCTTCTTCTTCTTCTTCTTCTTCTTCTTCTTCTTCTTCTTCTTCTTCTTCTTCTTCTTCTTCTTCTTCTTCTTCTTCTTCTTCTTCTTCTTCTTCTTCTTCTTCTTCTTCTTCTTCTTCTTCTTCTTCTTCTTCTTCTTCTTCTTCTTCTTCTTCTTCTTCTTCTTCTTCTTCTTCTTCTTCTTCTTCTTCTTCTTCTTCTTCTTCTTCTTCTTCTTCTCTTCTTCTTCTTCTTCTTCTTCTTCTTCTTCTTCTTCTTCTTCTTCTTCTTCTTCTTCTTCTTCTTCTTCTTCTTCTTCTTCTTCTTCTTCTTCTTCTTCTTCTTCTTCTTCTTCTTCTTCTTCTTCTTCTTCTTCTTCTTCTTCTTCTTCTTCTTCTTCTTCTTCTTCTTCTTCTTCTTCTTCTTCTTCTTCTTTCTTCTTCTTCTTCTTCTTCTTCTTCTTCTTCTTCTTCTTCTTCTTCTTCTTCTTCTTCTTCTTCTTCTTCTTCTTCTTCTTCTTCTTCTTCTTCTTCTTCTTCTTCTTCTTCTTCTTCTTCTTCTTCTCCTTCTTCTTCTTCTTTTTTTCTTCTTCTTCATCTGCTTCTTCTTCTTCCTTCTTCTTCTTCCTTCTTCTTCTTCCTTCTTCTTTTTCTCCTCCTCTTCCTCCTCCTTCTTCATCATCATCATCATATTCTTCTTCTTCTTCTTCTTCTTCTTCTTCTTCTTCTTCTTCTTCTTCTTCTTCTTCTTCTTCTTCTTCTTCTTCTTCTTCTTCTTCTTCTTCTTCTCCTCCTCCTCCTCCTCCTCCTTCTTCATCATCATCATCATATTCTTCTTCTTCTTCTTCTTCTTCTTCTTCTTCTTCTTCTTCTTCTTCTTCTTCTTCTTCTTCTCCTCCTCCTCCTCCTCCTCCTCCTCCTCTTCCTCTTCCTTCTCCTCCTCTTCCTCCTCTTTTCCTTCGACTCAACCTGGTTTTCCGGGCGGACAATGTTTCACCAATCAGCTATTAATTCGGTAGAATCTGTGTAGCTTTCTCTGTAACTTAAAATGAATGATTATTTCCCGCCATTTAGCAGTTATGTTAGTCGCAGGCACCAGTTAATAAATGTACCTAATTTATTATTAACTAGTGTTGTTCTGCATGCAGTAGTACGGATTTCATGCCAGAGCTAAGTTGAGCTGAGTCAAGAATTGACATCACAGCACTCGGGGCATTCCCATGCATGCTCCGTCCTCATCGCCAGCGCAAAGTTCCAATACCGATGGTACCGGTCACAATCTGGTTAAAAGTCCTTCTTGCCTTTCCTCTAAGTGTAGTGAGCCGGCTAGACCCTCTGGTTACACCCAAGTGTCTCATTCTCTCCAGGCCATAATCTTCTTTCTCTACTAATTCCGTTGCTTGTTCCCAAAGGGCCTTGACCACATCTGCCTTGTCATGTATCAGTTCACCACCCAGTGGTGTGGATCCAGCCAATATGTCTCGAAGCATCCCTTTCTTCACCCTTTTCAGCATGCTTTCAAAGTCTGTTACAATTACGACATGTGTATGCATTTTGTTCTCTAGTCACCGGAGAGCTGCAGTTACCGCCTCCACCTCCATTCTAATGCTGGATGTTGTGGTGTCATATGCTAGGCTGTCTTGCACTAAAGATGTTCCAGTGGCTTTCGTTACGACCCCCCTCCCCCCACCCCGGCACTTCTCCTTCCTCTCAACTCTGAACCATCTGTATAGATAATCAGATCACCTAGGCGTGAATTGTCGTGAATTAACTGTTGGACTTCGACCTCCGTAGCACCCGCTGGTCACTCTCCGCACACCGGCCCAATGTTATCATAACCCTACACAGGTCAGACTTTCCCGCTGGTACTCTGACCCACTCCTCTCCTCGGCCAATATTCTGCAGCATGCATACTTGTCTTATTTTGTCTTCTGCTTGATCCATCCACGATTTTCCCCTTTTCAGCCTCTGACCCTTGCCTGCAGCCAAGGCTTCATACAGGGGGTGTTTCCTTCTGCAGCGACTCTGAGGAATGACTTAGCCTGCACCACTTTTAACCTATCTACAATAGTCGGCGATGCAAGGATATTCTGCTTAATACTATTTTTAATTTCTGCTGATTTTTACATATGTAGTAGCGCGATGTCGGAACCCGGTGGCCTTTTATATTCTTTTTATTTTACTTCCCACGTCTATGTTAACATTATAATGATTCCACCACTAGAAATGAGAATTCACCAAATGAAATCTGGTTAAAATGTGCCTAGTATCTTTATACTTGCTCTACAGTTTATACTAGTTGTAGTGTTCTCCAGTCAAGTGTGTTTCATTTAATAAATTATTTATTATGGATCTTATTTTGTGCAGGGTACCGAAGTATAGTGTTACATAGGGTTATCACAGTCGACTCCTCATAGGACATTGTCACGAGTGCTTAGTCTCCCGACGCAGCAACAACCACAAGGAACCTCTAGTGATGGTTCACATGAGACGTTAGAGTGCCTCTTATCTTGATCTCAAAGATGACAACGACGTGTTTTACTAGGCTTCATTGTCAGGTCACAAAAGTACAAAATCGTGACAAAATCTACACCATCAAACTGCTCTCATCAATCACTTATGTGCCGTCTCTACGCTGAAGGTTGACTGCAGTGGATCTCCAACACGCTCTCTCATTTGTCCCAGTTCTACACTCTCTCAGGCTGCTGCTTCCTAAACGATAATCGCAAAGTGTCTGATGCTAAATCATTTGCAGCTATCGGCAGAGACACAAGATTAGTATGGCCTGGTGTACGCCGGTGTGTTGGGAAATGAACAAATGACTGGCTGGCTCTGCACAACTTGGTGGAATACTGCTACATGATAGGGCAGACGTGGTTAGTGCCTTGTGGGAGAGCGTGTACAGTTCGGAGAAGCAGATGGATCACCACAGTCTGGTGAGATTGTTGCAGGAGGGAGTGACGAGAGGTTTTGGCAGATGCTCGAGGCTCAGACGAAAGGCAAGACGGACGTTTAATCAGAATGCTACTGGCACCATTAGTATATGAACTAGCTGCTGAAGATGGGGACGGAGCGCTTATGGGAATGCCCCGAGTGCTGTGATGTCGGTTCTTGAATCAAATCGCCTCCTGATGGAGACGGACTTTTGAGAAATGACCTTGACTACAGGTCGACCCAGCCTTGAGTGGGTACCAAGTGCAGTCCTGAGAAGTAAAGGCGGCCGTTGTGATGCTGACCACATCACCCAAGAAGTGCTGACTCAGTCAGTCAATAGCATGTCCTTTTCAGAATCTTGCTCCCGTAACAGCCCTCCGGAAAACTCGATCACAGGCAAAAGATCATTCGCCACATCCTGCACTCATCTTCTTTGGCCTTCCTCTTCCTCTCTTCTCAGGCATATAACCATCCATTATTGTTTTCTTTAAACTCTCGTGACATTTCAAGTGAACAAAATATTTCAATTTTCTCTGTTTTATCTTCTTCAAAAGCCAACCTTCTTCAATATTTAGTTCTTGAAGTATGGAGTCATTTTTTTTTTCCGTCACCCATGATATTCTTAGAACACTACTATAACATTTGTATTCAAAGACATTTATGCGCTGTTCAGATTGTCTAGTAAGTGTCCAGGTCTCATAGGCGTATGTTGCAATGGGAAACATGCATGCTCTTAGAAATCTAATTTTTGTAGTTCTGTCTGTCCCACTCCATAATTTATTCAGTTGTTTTAGTCTAGGAAAAGCAATTGATAGTGGTCGTTTAATTTCTTTCATTGTGTCACTATTGTTGGTAATCAATGACCCAAGATTTTCAAGAATTTCCAAAATCTCTAATCTTTCCTCAATAACACACATTTCTTTCTCCGTGGTAGTTTTATCAGTGTGTATTATCTTTCTTTTTTCCATGTAAAGATATAAGTTGCTGAATGTTCTATACAAATATCGGTCTAGCCCTATATTCCTAATATGCCTAAAGGCATGGAAAAGGGACCTTTACTTTACTAATAGTAATAACAATAATAGTAAAAAGTATGTAATGAATGGGGAAAAATATAACATAGTTGAAAATAAAAATGGCTTGCCGCCATTTTCGACATCCTGACAGAGACCCCTACAGATTGAAATAATCTGATCTGTTAAAAAAAAAGAGAACTATACATGGCTGAGAGACTGGACACCTTGACTGACTGACTTTCTACCCCACCAGGACATCACACAAGCGATAAACACCCGATGACACAAAGTGCCACCATGTGGATGAGGATCGCCGTGGAGAGGTCCCAGAAACCGCGTTCAGACAATTGGCCATATTTATGGCCTGCCTATAGTGCGGCCCCTGGCAAAAGCCAGGGTGGGGCTTCAAAAAACAAAAAATTTCGTCCTAAAAAGGACGAAACTAGATACGATTTTTAATTGTCATGGAGCTACTTAGCCCTCTTTCACTTTTATACTGACGAAGGGGTGATGTCCCACCATTTAAAATAAATTGGGACGGGGGTGCTGAATGCGTGCAAGCTGCAGTCGCACGATGAAGTTATTTACCGAAACTAACCAACCACGATGGATTTCGGTCATATGACTCGATGTCACATGACAACGGGGCAGACGACAAGATCGTTACAGTTCCCCCATCACAGGACAGGACATACATCGGCCTTCCTTCTTCGCAGCTACAGCATCTTTGTAATTGCCGCAGATTTCAACCTCTCTGCACGAAAATGAAGTTCTCATACAGTTATATTATAGTCTTGTTAGCTATCATTGCAGTATCACAAGCTGAGTTTTGCAATTTGAATTTCAAAGAGTGCCAAGATTTAAAGCTCAAGACGGGTAAGAAGTGTTTTCCGTCAGGATATCATAAAAAAACTAAACAGTGTTCCGTGTTGTTCAACAACTTGTTGTAGTGTTGCAAGTCTTTAAAGTCTGTAGTGTACGTGTTAAGTATCGTACAGCTATAAATGATGATAAGTCCTTTCATCCCCTAAGTAAAAACTAAAATATGATTTGTGCGTGCGCCAGAATTCACACGGAATATAAATATATACTCAAGCAGTTCATGGGGGATTTGGCACGCCTTACAACTGCGATCATTATATTATCAGTCGGGACGCAATCAGGGATGCAATTTTTTCGTTATTTGAAGCCCCACCTGGCTTTTCCCGGGGGCCCTGAATATAGCCGGGGCATAGATATGGACTAACGGCTGAAAGGGGTTTCTGGAACCTCTCCACGGGTGATTCTAATCCACATGGTGGCACTTTGGGTCACTGGGTGTTTACTGGAATCAATTGTAAAATAGAAGTATTTTTTAATCACCAGCTTTAGATTTTCTTTTAGTTGAAGTTAAAATTGATTACATTGTTTTCATTGAAATTTATATATTTGTTCAAATGGGGTACAGTACGTATGATCCTTAAATGTTTTAAATCCTTATAAATTAACTAAATGACAGGTTAAATGTGTATCCCTTGTTTGGTCTGCTACTATTTTTTTGGATTTGTTTAGTTATTGGATACAATTGTGTTGTGCCTGTTTACGGCTGAGCTGCTATATGTGTGTGTGTCCTTGTCAGCCAAGCGTCCCACTTCACCAGAAATGCTTGATTAACCTTCCTGGTTACAAATATGTAAAAAGAATATACCCCCCCCCCTCCCCGCCAACAAGCATGTTATAAAAGTTGTCTAGTGTGGGTGTTTCCTTCAAAGTCAGAATGCATCTGTCTGAAAGATGAGGAACCAACAGTCTGCATACAGGCGTGCCAGGTCTGTAAAATAGATGTGCATGCCAAGACTCAAGTTCTGGGACACGACGGAAGTCCAGAAGTGGACAAACGGCCATAACTTTTTGCCAGAGTTTATAGCTGGTGAACACTGAGAAAAAAACCAATAGCGCAGCCTTTGTTTTTATTTTTGTCGTTTGGAATTTGTGTTGAGATTATTTCACTGTAATGGTCTTGTTTTTGTCACAGGTACAAGTTTAGGTAAAGTATCTAACTTGTCATTCAATGGAACGTGCAGCAGTGAAGGATTTGCGGTTCTCAAAAAGGGCACAGTGGTCGAAATTGATTTCCAGTTTCAGTCCTGTGAGTTTGCCACAGTTATTATTGTTCTAGAATTTATCTTATTTCCCCGCTCCATTTTCTCTTCTCTCCCTTTTTCTGCCACTTATTCTTTTCCACTTCCTTTCTTCTTCTCCTCCTTTTGCTCTTGTCCACTATTCACAGCAATTGTTCAGTTTGATTCGGAGGCAAGACAGGGCTAGGGGGACAAATTGAAAAAAAAAAAAAAAGTAAAATTACATTGAAAAAAAAAAGACTTAATATACAAGACTTCTTTTGGTTATTGGACAGTGTCAAGAGTCACATTGTGGAAGAGATTGGAGCTTCACCATATAAAAGTCACAGAGACAGCATGAGTGCATATGTCCACTGCAGCAAATCTCCATTGTGGAAATGACACTAACAGAATATACAACAGGGTGGCAGATTTTTGTTTTGAAAGTCTGGTTGGGATTCACAGAAAAATGCTTCTTGCCTTGCTTGGAATTGAGCAGGATTAAGATCTAACCCAGTGATTACAAATGTTGGGCCCATTCTGCACAGGAGGGCAGTTTGATGGTAAAGGAAGGAGAGGGGGAGGCTTCGAAAATAGACTCGTCCAGAGTTTAAGTTGTACACTCTGTTTTCTCAGCACGTTTCTAGTGATTTCTTTCCTAAAACCTATCATCTTAGTTTCTTCAGTGAACAGTTCATTTGTTGAATATTAAAAATGATGTATATGTTGTCTAGGGGACATAAGAACTGTAGGAACTTGGCATGCACAACCAACAACAAAGACAAGGTTGGGCAATACTGGTCTAACTAGTGACGTAGGATTGTTGCTATCAGAGATCTACCAAGGAGACATTTTTCACCCTAAATCTTTCTTTTAAGATGCATATATGCCTGATTATCCTTGAGCTACAAAATCTTTATGTACAGAAGTGAATCAAAAACATCATTATGACGTTTAATGTGACCACAGCATTTCAGTTTTTAAAGAAACAGTACAGGTTTCAAAGCCCCATATTGAGGGGGGGAGGGGCTGGTCAAGCCACTGCTTCCCTGCCAAGTATGTCATAAAAGTCTACTAATTATGGGTTTCCTTCCAAGCCGGAGTTCCTCTGCCTGTGAGGCAAGGAACCAACAGTCTGCATGCAACTAAGCCAGATCTGTAAAATAGATGTACATGCAAAAACTAAAGCTCTGGAACAAGACTGAAGCCCAGAAGTGTTTGAACAATCAAAATGTTTCACCAGAGTTTACAGCCAGTGAAAGCAAAGGAGAATAAGTATTGTCTGTGAGCCAGTGCCACTTACTATTCAGATTCTGTAGAATGTCCATGATTTTCCTCTAGTTGTTCCATGATACTCTGACAATAACATTAACATTTCTTCCTGTGATTTCAAGAACCTTAATGAGTGTCTGTCACTGGAAGAAATTATGTGAGTGAGGGAAGGGAAATTTGTAACAAGTGCCACAGTCAAGTCACATGTGACAAATGTATGCCAGATGTCACATTGAAGTCATATGTGACAGATGTGTATCAAATGTCACTTCAGTGTATCAAATTTCACAGTGAAGTCACATATGACAAATGTGTATCAAATGTCACTTCAGTATATCAAGTTTCACAGTGAAGTCACGTATGACAAATGTATATCAAGCAGTGCCACAGTGAAGTCAGCTGTGCTATAGAAAATACATGAACAACACATTCTTTTTTTTTTTTAAAGATGTCTTTCTATTTCTGTACTAACATCTGTTTTGTCTGAATTCTGATTCTGTCATTTGAATTAGGAATGAACCGGGAAGGCTAACCCGGGCAACAAATGCCCGCAGAAGTCGGATGTATTGGCCGAAAGGTGCAAATATCGCAGCCATGCTGTAAACAGACACAATGCAATTAAATCTTCAGATGAACGCAGAAGAAGAAGAATTAGAAATGGACATCACAGCAATAGGGGTATTCCCATATGAGTTCTGTCCTTACCTTCAGTAGCCAGTGCAGATTTCCAGTTGCGATGATATCAGTAGAAGTCTGATTGTGTACCAGACTTGTTTTTCCTCCGAGTGTTGAGTGTAGGCTAGGTCTCCCTGGCCACTCCTTGCTGCACTATTCTCTTTGGACTGTAAGGAACTATTTCTGCTTCGGTACAGTTCACCCACTCCCAAAGTGCCTTGACCATAGCTAGCTTGTATTTTGCTGCTAAATGTACCATGGATCGTCAACATTATTTCAAGTTGATTTAACACTAATGTATTTCTTCTGTTTATATTCTGATTCTCAAGGAAACAGCATTTTAACATCTCACTCGATTATGATCCTTTTCAGATAACCCACAGGCCAACAGTATTTTAACATCTCACCTGATTATGATCATTTTCAGATAACCCACAGGCTACCCTGAAATCTGTTGTTCATGGTCAGATTTCTGGTTCTCCTTGGTTACCCTTCCCCCTTGGCAACCCAGATGCATGCAAAGACTCTGGATTGACGTGCCCTATTCCAGCTAACACCACTCTAAACTACAAGCCTAACCTTAAAGTGCTGTCTTCATATCCAGCAGTAAGTCTAGTCATATGTATTTTGGTAACGACAGCATGCAGTTTTATGGTTGGTCACTTCTTTAGTCTGCGGCTTAGGCAGTGCAAACACACTTCAGAATGCTGGGGTGCCGGGTTTTATCCCTGCTGTGGACAAAATGTCTTGTGTTGGTTTCAACAGTGGTATCAAAAGCCTAACTTTCAGAAAGCAGTGGCAAACTACTGAATGTCAGATTTGCCTAGAAAACTCACAACAGCCAAAAAAATGCTGTGGCTGGTTCTGGTGCATCTTGTAAAGGATATGCAACTAACTTTAACACTCTCAACAGGTGGCCATGCAGCTGGATCAGGACTCATACTTGTCAGGACCTGTTAACCACCTCTGCCAGGGTAAACCCAGAACTAAGTTCCCAGCCGGGGGCCTGGCCAATGTATGTTGAGATGAGTGGAAAGAGAGGAAATCACAAAATGTTGAGATGAGTGGAAGGAATGGTAATCACAAAATGTTGAGATGAGTGGAGAGGAAATCACAATATGTTGAGATGAGTGGAAGGAATGGTAATCACAAAATGTTGAGATGAGTGGATTAGAGAGGAAATCACAATATGTTGAGATGAGTGGAAAGAGAGGAAATCACAAAATGTTGAGATGAGTGGAAAGAGAGGAAATCACAATATGTTGAGATGAGTTAAAGGAATGGTAACCACAAAATGTTGAGATGAGTTAAAGGAATGGTAATCACAAAATGTTGAGATGAGTGGAAGGAATGGTAATCACAAAATGTTGAGATGAGTGGAAAGAGAGGAAATCACAATATGTTGAGATGAGTTAAAGGAATGGTAATCACAAAATGTTGAGATGAGTGGAAGGAATGGTAATCACAAAATGTTGAGATGAGTGGAAAGAGAGGAAATCACAATATGTTGAGATGAGTTAAAGGAATGGTAATCACAGTATGTTGAGATGAGTGGAAGGAATGGTAATCACAAAATGTTGAGATGAGTGGAAAGAGAGGAAATCACAATATGTTGAGATGAGTTAAAGGAATGGTAATCACAGTATGTTTAGATGAGTTGAAGGAGAGGTAAGGGAAGACAAGTTTTTTTTTTTTAATGGCCTTTAACTTTGCAGAGAAAGGTTGTTCCAATCTCTTTCGTGGTGCGACTCTTGTAGCGCTGCATTAAAGTCACAAAACAGTGTTTCTGCAGATAAGTTGATACATGCTGTTGAAGACTAAGATGTGGGAAGGCATGGTAGTACTAACAGTACACTGTTTCAGGTTTTTGCTTTAGGTGATGTACATTCAGACATGGTCATTATTATAGAAGTTACACACAAGAGTTATCATGGTTGCCCAGCGGCTTGCATACTTGTCTGCGGATCATGGGTTCCATTTCACATTAAGGATGGCAAATTGCCTAAAATTGGTACCAGAGAAATACATGTTCTGGAAAGTGAAGCTGACAGTGTGATGTCGACCACATTGCTCATTGAGTGTTATTTGATCGGTACAAATTTACTAGGAGCACCAGATACCCCTAGTCTCTTGTCATGAGAAAGGACTTTTGATTTTGATTTCCTTAACATCCGCTGACAACTATGGCAGGGACAAATTTAGGTACAAAATAAATACATTTTTTTTTGGTGCCGTCTCCAGAATGGACATTATTTGCAGTGCACCTGCTGTTGTGTTTGGTAATATCACATGGTGTAGTTCCAATCTCTTCCATGGTGCGACTCTTGTAGCGCTGCATGAAAGTCACAAGAACAGTGTTTTGTAGTTTTCAAAGTATTAGGTGACAAAAGTGGGACCCCGGTACATGAAAGAATAGATGGTGAAATGAATTTACTAACCTCTACACCACAGAGCTGGACTAAATGTAGACAGTATTTTAAGTATTAAATTCCAGTTATACAATTAACGTTTTTTTTTAGCTAATAAGACATATACTGCTAATTAGAAGTTAACAAATCTGATGTGCATTGCTGGAGTATTGTTTCTGAGAGAAGAAGAGCTGCATTAACATCTATTTGTTTTTTCTGGTGTTTAAATTGACAAGAGCTGTACTTCCAGTGTTGAATATTGAATTAAGATTTGACATCATAGCACTCAGGGCACTTCCATGAGCACTCCATCCTCATCTTTAGCAGTAAGCAAAGCGTTCCAGTTCCGATGGCACCAGAAACTTTCTGACTGTATATCCGTCTCGCCTTTCCCTTGAGTGTCGAGCGTCAGTCAGATCCATTAGTAATTTCTTGCAGCACAATTCTCCTCAGACTGTATTGGTCTATCTGTGCACTGTTCAGTTGTTCAAATCAGGGCTATATTATTGCTGTGATTCATGAGGGATCTATACTGTCTGCTGCCCTTTATCCCCCCACTGAGCGAGCGTAAGCTCTCAGTGAGCTGTTGCCAAGTTATCTCATCCATCGCTGTTTGATATCCCCCCTGTTTTTTAACTTCACTCTCTAGCTTCCTTCTGCATGTGGGTTTTTGGTCTGTCTTTATTTCTGTGCCCTGTGGGTACCAGTGCAGAGACATTCTAGTTGTGTTATTCTCATGTGTCCTCATTGTATGTCCTATCATCTTTTCTCCAACTCTTGATACGCTCAGCGTCTATGTAGCACCTGAATAATGTAGCTACTACCTGATAAGCCGCAAATTTTTGACATACCATCTGACAATGTTTGCGACCAGGTGCCAGTCTGTGGATAAGGATAACCAGCTAAAGAACCTGGCCTTAGTTGATGTTTAATTTTTATTTTCTGTTTCAACAGTTGAAGGTTCTTGTCAAGTGGCAGCTTCAGGATGCCAGGAAGGCCGACATTTTCTGTGTCGTATTGCCAGCAGAAATCGCTGAATAAACAGTGGCAGCAGACTCAAGCATTCCGTTCCCAACCTTGCCTTATTTCTATTTACTTCTTAGTGCACTTTGACATGTAAATAAATTATTGCTGAGTCAGCGATAGAGTAATTGATGGATAATTAAAGAAAAAGATTTGGATATTTAAAAACAAAACGGACATCAGAACATTCAGCACTAGTTTAGATCATCTCGTTTGATTTCAGGACAACTGTTGATATACAACTATAATAAAAATCCTAACCTGCATAGTTTGTGGCAACTGCACTAGCCTCAAGTCTTCAGGTCAGTGGGCCGTGAAGACAGGACAGAGATTCGAAAAATGTGACTTAAGTCTACAGACAAGAAAGAGACAAAGAATGTGAATGTACAGACAAAACAGAGACTCAAAGAATGTGATTGTGTACAAACAAGACAGAGACTTGATGAATGTGACTATATGGAAAGACAAGACAAATCACTTTTGTATGGCATATGACAAGAGAGAAGTGGCATCTTTACAAGGTCAGCTATATATATGGGGCTTGACATTCTTCTTCTTCTTCACTTTTTACTTTACCGCATTGGCTGTCAAGGAAAATACAAGGTTCTTCTTGTCATTCGTGATTAAAAAATTGTTGACTTGGCATTACTTTCTTCTTCTTCAGCATTCTGAATCTGTGATTGGCCTTTTGTTTGCAGTTGCTAACTTGATCTGGCAGTGGTATCACTTTGGCAGTTGTAAACTGAAAAATCAACTCTGTTGAAACGAGTTGACAATAAAAACTGCTGGAGTGATAAGTTGTTTCAATAGCCACAGCCAGAGATAGAAACAGTTGGTTTAAATCCCCTCTCTACTTTTGCATTCTAATTTTAGTTATCAAGTATTACAAGATCTGTAGCAGTTATATAATCATTATTTTGTCCTGACCTCATTGCTGATATTTTTTATTTAAAGGTATTTTTTTTCTTTGATATCAAACACATGCATTCTGTATTAACTTGATCTGCTTTTTTTCCCCGTAAATAAAGCTTCTTTAATATGTTCATACATGTTTCTTTATTGTTGGTCACTTAAACTGGCAATAATGTCATTTTGGCGGTCATAAATTTAAAAATCATTTTGTTGAAACTAGTTAGCCATTTTCCCTAATAAAACCTTAGTAAAGTCTTTTACTTATTTTTTATATACACTACCTTTGTCATTTCAAAATCTATGAACGGGCAGATTAGTTTCTGACCTTTTTCAACCCTTATTTTCCTAAGAAAGTTTGCATTATTTTGACTCCTAGACATCCCCCCCCCCCACCCATTTTTGACTTGTGTCAGAGTAGTGAAATCCCCTTGAGAATTTAACTTATCATCTGTTTAGGGGCGAATAAAGAGTTTAAAAGTAACAAAAGTTGGGAAACGTTAACAGCAACAATTGTTGGAGCTGAAGTTAAAGCAACAGTCAGATATGGGAAAAGTTAACAGCAACTGCTGGAGTTGAAGTTAACCGTAGCAGCAAACAGGGATAGGCAAGTTAATAATAAGTCGGCGATAGGGAAGTTAACAAAAATAACAATAATAGCAGTCAGGGATGGGGAAAGTTAGCAATATTAACAGCCAGGAAAGCAGTAGGTTAACAATAATAACAACAGTCAGAGATGGGATAAAGTCAACAACCTATTTGGGTGTGGGAGTTAACAGAACTTTTAAAATAACAAATGATTTAGTAGCCACAGCCTGGGATTGAAACCGTCACTCTGAATCCCTTCTCCACTTTTGCATTACAATTTCAAATGTCATATGATCTGAAGCAAATATATAATAATGATACTGTCGTCATTTGATTCTAAATGCTAGTGCTTATATTTGTTATTAAAAGTATTATTTTTCTGTGATATCAAACGCATGCAATCTGTATTGACTTGATCTGCTGTTTTCATAAATAAAGCTTCTTTAATATTTTCTTACACCAGTTTCTTTTTAATAATCTTTTTGTACACAAAGTGTACATTATAAAAATAATCTCTATGTGTTAATTCGGCTTTTTAAAAAAAAAAGAAGACCCCCCCAAAAAAAAAATTCCTAATTTTATTGTTTCTGTTACAATAATTTTTCACGCTTAATACAGTTTTTCTCCGATTGTTCAGGTATCCAAATCCTAACTAAAATCACAAGTCAAACTATTATCATTAAAAAAATACAATTAAATGTGTCTGTTGTTTTCAATGTATCAATTAAGCCGACCGTCCAGAAAGCAATGGCAAACTACTGGACGTAAATTTGCCTAGAAAAACCACACAACAGCCAGTGGCTGTTAAGGTTGGTTCTGCGACGTCCTGTAAAGGATATGCAACTAACCTTGTTGTTTTCAATAACTGCTGTACTGTAGAAGGAAGACAAGGCTCTTTGGTCATGTGATGACAAAAATCTTAAAGACTGGAAAGATCACTGGTGGCAGAGGCAGACCAAGAGAAATTATGGCGAATGGCAGTGGCATGGAGACTTGGGAGATGCAAGAAACTCTACGCCAGCTGGCAAGGCACTTGAATGATAATGTACTGTAGCATTCTGCTCAGATACTGGAAAACACTGGGAGCTATGGTAGATGATGACTGCAGACCCAAAGGTCCAAGGTTTAGACTGAGGGCAGAGAAATTTTTTTTTTTTTTTTAAATTGACCTTGACTCCCAGATTAACCCAACCTAAAATGAGTATTATATGTGATCCTGGAAAGTAAAAGCATCCACCTTGAACTCGATACTGACACTATCACCCATCGATAGCCGACTAGTCTAAACAAAACAGCACTGGTCTAACACAGTATGTCAGTAATTAGGGTTCCAACTGTTAATTCTGTCTTGCTGGTGGCCAGAACTGTTAAAACAGAGGTAGGTAGACTGGGTTAGGGGCTGTATCACAAGATGTTCACAGAAATGATCTGCCGATTTCCTACCGATAACAGGTACTTGTAAACAGCTTCTTGCAATTTAGTTCAGGCTAAAGGCATGCATGGAAGACATTCAGAAACGTGTGTGCCTTGCTCAACAAGTTAGCCATAATGCACAACCTATGTAGTCAAATGAGTTGGAAGTACTGTATAGAGGTTTTTCCAGGAGAATGAATGGGCAGATATATAGAACAGATAGCGATGAAAATCTATAGGTATACAATGGGCAGATATATAGAACAGATAGCTATGAAAATCTATAGGTATACAATGGGCAGATATAGAACAGATAGCGATGGAAATCTGTAGGTATACAATGGGCAGATATATAGAATAGATAGCGATGAAAATCTGTAGGTATACAATGGGCAGATATATAGAATAGATAGCGATGAAAATCTGTAGGTATATAATGGGCAGCGGTAAAAAGAATACAGTAGTAAAATGTAAGCAGCGTTAACTTAAGTGAACTCTCATCATCATCAGGTAGCAGGTTCTCTGCAGAACGACGCTCTCATCACAGTCTGCCTGAAAGAAACTCAGTCTCTCGTCAGATCTCCTGCCTCATGCACTTTCATACGCAAGGAGTCACTTATATCCCGTTCCCATCTTCATGTTGGTCAGCCACTGCCCCTCCTTCCTGGTACCGTGCCTTCTGCTAATAATTTTCCCAATCCACCATGGTGCTTGATATGACCAAAATATTTCAGCTTCTGAGACAAGATGCTGTTTATTAGCCAATCTTCTTTAATGTTCACATCTTTTGAAATGTCAGTGTTTTCTTCTCTTATTTGTCCATGATATTCTGAGAATCTTTCAGCCTCCATAAGTGAACACTGGTATGTCAGTTTTATGAAATTGCATTCACTAACCTCACTGCCATAGACAATAGATAAACACTAGAAAGTGAAATATCATTTGGTAGGTCCTCTGCAGAACATCACTCTCATCAGTCTGCCTGAAAAAACGTCTTGCCAGCTCTCCTGCCTAGTGCACTTTCCCCACCCAAAGTGTCCCTTACATCCTGTGCCCATATTTGTGCTGATCAGCCCCTGCTCCCCTCCTAGTACCATGCATTCAACTATAATTTTTTTTCCAAATCTACCATGATGCTTACATCTTGGACTAAGAAGATGAGAAATATTGACATCTTAAAAGATCTGAACATCAAGGAAGATTGGATAATAAACAGCATCCTTTCTCGAAAGCTGAAATATTTTGGTCATATCAAGCGCCACAACGGATTAAAAAAATTATAGCAGAAGGCATGGTACCAGGAAGGAGGGGCAGGGGCCAACCGACACCAAGATGGGCACAGGATATAAGTGACTCCTTGAGTGTGAAAGTTCATGAGGCAGGAGAACTGGCAAGAGACCGAGTTTCTTACAGGCAGACTGTGATGAGAGCGACGTTCTGCAAAGGACCTGCTACATGATGAACCATGATGCTTGATATGACCAGAATATTTCAGTTCCCGAGACAAGATTCTGTTTACCAGCCCAATCTTTCTTAATCTTCAGATCTTGTAGGATGTCAGTGTTTCTCTTTGTCCATGGTGTTCTATGAATTTTTCTACAGCATTTCATCTCAAAAGCCCCTGTTTTTTTTCCCTTAAGGACTGCAAGATAGTCCACGGCTCACAGGCGTATGCTGCTATAGAAAAAATGCATGATCTCAAGATTCTGACTTTGATTTTCTTGCTGGTACTTAAGATTTTCAAGCTGCTTAATCTTTGCATTGCTGTGGTCTTTCTTCTGACCTCTGTTGAACAGATTCCATTGGTGACATAACAAGAAAATACAGACTCTCCTACAAACAACCAAACACATATTCTACATCATTCATTTCAAGCAACCAAAACAAAAAGAACAAACCAGATTCCTCCTGTATATTTTTACCTCCCTTTTTCCCATCATTTTGTGTGTGATCTCTTCAATGAGAACAATTGTTTTAAATTCCTAACTCCTAAAATAATGTTGAAGGCACATGACAATGGACAGAAACAACTGAATGCTAAGAAAAGAATATAATGGGATTGTAGTTTCTGAACATTCCACTGGAAGAAATTTTCAATAACATCGACA